CTGAAACAGGCTCCAGGCTCCGAGCTGGCAGTCAGCACAGAGCCTGACGCGGGGCTTGAACCCACGAACCGCGAGATCATGACCTGAGCGAAAGTCGGACGCTTAACCGACTAAGCCACCCGGGCGCCCCTTTTTTTTTTTAAATTTTTTTTTTAATGTTTTTTTTTATTTATTTCTAGGAGAGAGAGAGAGAGGGGGGTGGTTGGCTATTTATTCTTAATAGCTCCACAACTCTGCCTATTTTCTTTCCTTAGCCTAGAAGGGCCTCTTTGGTCGTATTCTAACTTGTAAAACTCCTACTTACCTTTCAAGACTCATCACTCAATCAATTTTCTACATTAAGAGAATTGTACTACATTTATTCAACGGGCATTTGCTGCGTATGGACAAGCATCACGCAAAGTACTAAATAAACAAATGGTGATGAGTGAGACAGGGAGAGCTGAGAGGTTATTTCATACAGTGGTCAGTGCTAAATTAGGGTACACAGGATTCAGGGAAGCACCCAGAAGATTTGTGGAGAAAAAGGGAAGACTTGCCAGAGAAAGAAACATATAGTTGAGATATAAAAAAAATAAGCAGGCATTAGCCAGATGGGAAGGGTGAGAAGAGCATTCTTAGGGAGAGAAGCAGGATGTGCAAAGTCCCAGAAGAACATGGCGGGTGGGAAAGGCAACACCATTCACAGCATTTTAACAGCTGAAGTGGGGAGAATGTAAAAGCGGAAAGAGAAAAACTGAGACTGGAGGGGAAAAGGTAGAGTCTGTGAAATGCCTTGCAAAACCCATTAAAAGTTTCTATTTGATACCATTACAACCTCTCCTGACACTCTCCCCAGGTTGTTAGGCAGACTTCCTCCCCTCTACGTTCCTAACTCCTCACCTGGCATGGCTCTTCTCACATCTACTACTCTAGCCTCAAGTACTGCGGATGCAAGCTCTCCAGCCCTCTGCAATGTGTTCCCTCGGGGCAGAGACTGATCTCTTTTCTGTAGCACACTGCTGGGAATACTCTAGTTCAGCAAGATGCTGCAAAATCCTTATTACAAGAATAAATGTATAAAAAAACAATGTGAGGGCGCCTGGGTGGCTTAGTCGGTTAAGCGTCCGACTTTCGCTTAGGTCATGATCTCGCGGTTCGTGGGTTCGAGCCCCGCGTCGGGCTCTGTGCTGACTGCTAGCTCAGAGCCTGGAGCCCGTTTCAGTCTGTGACTCCCTCTCTCTCTGACCCTCCCCTGCTCACGCTGTCTCTCTCTCTCCTAGAAATAAATAAAAACTTTAAAAAAAAAAAAAACAACACACAATGTGAATGGGGAGAAAGGATATACAAGTTTTTAAAAATGGCAGTAAAGTTAGATAATAGTCTATTATATCATACGGAAATGTAGGTATGAGGTGATAGGTGTCCAAATGAATGGCATACCACTCTGAGGATGAAGCCAGGAGTGTGCAGATGGCCAGAAGCCTCTTCCCAATTAAGAGGAAAATTGCATGAGGCTTAAAGGATGGACAGGATTTGGGGAGGCAGAGTTGAGTGGAAGGTACTGCAGATAAGAGTAGTGAACTGGTAAGAACAAGGCCAGAGAGCACATGTGGTGGGGACCGGGGAGAGGGCTTACTTAGAGAAGAGGAAGGTCAAGGGGCAAATTTTGCTGGAATTATCCTTAGAAGGTCTACCATTTTGTTAAAGAAAACAGGATTGAGGACTGCTTTGTCGTTATTTTCAAAGTAATAGAATCTTTTCAATAAGTCCTGTCACCATAATTTTGTAGGGGTTCAAGAAGTGGGAAGACTCCAGGAAGAAATGGTAAAATAAAATATTCTGCAGTTATATCCAATTTCTATTCTCTAGAAGTCATCTGTGGAATTCCACATCAACAGTCCTAAGGGAAGGCAACATTTACAACAGAACGCTCTTTAAAATGTTGGGGCCCCTGTGTGGCTCAGTTGGTTAAATGTCTGACTCTTGATTTCTGCTCAGATCATGATCTCATGGTTCGTGAGACTGAGCCTTGCATCAGGTTCTGCGCTGACAGCATGGAGCCTGCTTGGGATTCTCTCTCTGACACCCCCGCCCCATGTATGCACCTGCTTGCTCTCTCTCCAGATATATAAGCATTTTAAAAAACGTTAAGTAAAATGTGAGTCTGTCAAGTATTATGAACCTCCAAACCTACTTCAAAAGGCTGCTTTAGGATTCTTCTTACCACACCTCAATGAGGGGCAGAAAACCAGATCCAAGATGCTGTCCCTATGGCTCTTGCAAAAGGAACAACATCCAAACAAACCAACTCTGATACAGGTAATTCTGTTTTTTGGTTTCAAGACATTGAATCAAGAAAATGATACCCTCCTAGCTCACTTAGGAGAATTATGTCATTCCAACACTCCAGGTTCAAGTCTGGGTCAGAAAGATAACTGTAGACCACTGTCAGTGAGGCTTCTCTCGGGTCTAAGCAGCTTTCTGTCATACCATTACCAACATTTTCCATCGAGGAAGAAAAAAATCTAGAGAAGCACTAAAATGGCTGGTGTGTTCTGAAGTCCATTTTATAAAAAGGTGAAAGTATGCAAGAACCATAGAATAAATTTCTCGGCTCACTGTGGGGCCTTTGAACCCAGATGACTAAAACCCCAATGTTGATGGGAGTTTCCTAAAATGAAATCCAACAATTTGTACTTGTGAGTTGATAAAGCAAAGAAGAAAGGTAGAAATAATTAATATATTCTTAACTTTATATATATCATCCATCTTAGACATCTTTTTTTTTTTTTTTTTTACAAATAGTTTATTGTCAAATTAGTTTCCACATAACACTCAGTGCTCATCCCCACAAGTGCCCTCCTCCATGCCCATCCCCCCCTCCCCCCCACATCCATCAGTCCTCAGTTTTTGTCAGCATTCAAGAGTCTCTCATGGTTTGCCTCTCTCCCTTTCCCCCACCATTTCCGCCCTTCTTCTCCCCCTTGGTCCTCCGTCAAGTTCCTCCTAATCCTCCTATACGTGCAAACATATGGTATTTGTCCTTCTCTGCCTGACTTATTTCGCTCAGCATAACACCCTCAAGGTCCATCCATGTTGCTACACATGGCCAGATTTCATTGTTTCTCATTGCCATGTAGTATTCCATGGTATAGATAAACCACATCTTCTTGATCCATTCATCTGTTGATGGACACTTAGGCTCTTTCCATGTTTTAGCTATTGTGGAGAGTGCTGCTATGAACATTGGGGTACATGTGCTCCTATGCCTCAGCATTTCTGTATCCCTTGGGTAAATTCCTAGCAGTGCTATTGCTGGGTCATAAGGGAGTTCTATTGTTAGTTTCCTGAGGAACCTCCACACTGTTTTCCAGAGGGGCTGTACCAGTTTACATTCCCACCAACAGTGCAGGAGGGTGCCCGTTTCTCCACATCCTCGCCAGCATCTAGAGTTCTCTGATTTGCTCATTTTAGCCACTCTGACTGGCGTGAGGTGGTATCTCAGTGTGGTTTTGATTTGTATTTCCCTGATGAGGAGGGATGCTGAGCATCGTTTCATGTGTCTGTTGGCCATCTGGATGTCCTCTTTGGAGAAGTGTCTGTTCATGTCTTCTGCCCATTTCTTCACTGGGTTGTTTGTTTTTCGGGCGTGGAGTTTGGTGAGTTCCTTATAGATTCTGGATATTAACCCTTTATCTGATATGTCATTTGCAACTATCTTTTCCCATTCCGTTGGTTGCCTATTAATTTTCTGGGTTGTTTCCTTGGCTGTGCAGAAGCTCATCTTAGACATCTTAATAGTCCAAGTAAAAGGATGAATAAAACTTCTCTTTGATTAAATATACTGTCAAAGTTACCAAGGATAGCAATTCAATTGTGTATATGCTGCATGGTATACATTCCAGAGAGGTGCATGTTAAGAATTCTAGATTTAGAAACATTAAATTGATGAAGTTTCCTATTCAGTCTATCCACGGATTAAATTAATCTATGACTACCAACATAACATCCTTTTAGTGGGTGATGAAAAAAATCTAAGACTTCCTATAAATTAAAAAAAAAAAAAAAGTGGTGGCTGACACTAGAGGAAATAAAAAGAGGCACTGTACCTTTTCAGTAATGATGCGGTTGACGCATTGCTTTCCAGTCAGTGGCAATGTACATTTCTCCATGATTTTATGTGTATTTCCCTGTTTTAAAAAGAAGGAACATCAAAAAGATAGTTAGGGACCAATTCTTACTCAGAAGTAGAATAATGATGGGACACAGAGGAACTATCAGAGAAAGTGTCTCCTAAGTACAAGCTGTTTCAAAATCTTTGCACAATCACGCTTTTGCTTTCTTCCTGGGGATAGCTTCTGTCCCTAACATAATTTAGGGAGAATACCAAATGGATAGCAAAAGTCAGAAATGATTTAGTTGGGAAACACCTTGCCCTAAATTTAACCTCTCAACTCTTAGTCCTTATATAATGTAAGGTAAATTTTACTTCTACTATCCTGCTTCCTTTTCTTTTTCAGGGAATGGTCTTCTCGACAAACATGAGCTATTATTCACTAAGGATAGGAAGAATGTACAGGATGCGAATGTAAAATACCCTTTTTTAAATTTCCAAAAGCAAAACATATATGAAAACAGCAGTGCTTAGCCTCCTTTTCTTACTTTTAGACCTGTGCTCAACAGGAATCAATTTTGGAATTTTTTAGCATTTTCTTTTATATCTCTATACATTTTCCTATTACCTCTTCATTTTTACAAACTGGGTACCATGCTATTTATCTCTTGATTAATTGATTTTAGACACTATGTACTGACTTCTTATTGTGGTATATGAAGACTTAATTCTCTTATTAAACCCTGTCCTCTTCAGTTCTTCAGTAGAGGTAGGCTACAAATTGTAGTTAACTCAATAGTTTACATCATTCTGCCTCAATGACCATGTAAAACTGTTCATTGCTGGGGCCAAGCAGTGTGGTATACCATGCTTATACTCACTTTCTCATACAGCTCTTTGCTTTCCCTGGAGTTTGTTTGAGCCTCAGTTTGTTCATAAGTAAATTACGCGAGCTGTCCTAAATCTATATTTATTCTTTTAACTACTATACCTTTTCTTCAAACATAAAATAAAGAGGGAGTAACAGTAGAAAGCAGGGTACTTATATAAAGAAAATGAAAACACTAATTCAAAAAGATTTAGGTACCCCTATATTTACTGTAGCATTATTTAAAGATATGGAAGTAACCTAAGCGTCCATCAAGAGATGAATGGATAATGAAGATGTGGCCACACACACACACACAGGCATACGTGCAGCCATAAAAAGAATGAGATCATGCTATTTGAGACAATACAGATGGACCTAGAGGGTAATATGCTAAGTGAAATAAGTCAGGCTGAGAAAGACAAATAGCGTACAATTTTACTCATAAGTGGAATATAAAAAAACAAATCTGAATAACCAGCAAAAAGCAGAATGAGACCTATAAATACAAAGAGCAAACTAATGGTTGCCAGAGGGGAGACGGGTGGTGTGTTGGGCAAGGTTGGTGAAACGGAGAGACACATGCTTCCAGTTATGGAATTAGTCCATCGTGGGAATAAGAGACACAGCATAAGGAATATAGTCAATGATGTTGTGACAAGGATGTTCAGTGTATCAGGACAGACGATAGCTACCCCTCTGGTGATCACAGCATCATGTTCAAACCTGCTGAATCACTATGCTATACACCTGAAACTAATATAACACTGTGTGTCAACTATCCTCAAGAAAAGAATGTAAAGCAGGTTTTCACCCCTTGTACCCCTTCCTTCAGCCCACATCCCAGTGTAGACAGGGCCTCTGGGCACATATATGGAAACACAGTTGAAACATTAGCTCTGATGATGTGATTATAACTATTATTGAGCTCCTTTCTAAGTGTCAAGCAATAGGAACCTAATTTAGTATCTCCTTTGAGGATAAAGGCTCCCTCATCATATTCTAGATCTTATATTAAAAAATAGAAAAATGCTTCTATTGTTTCTTTTAGGGACCTAAAAACACCACACAAGTGCCCAATTCTTGATTTCAGCTTAGGTTGTGATCTCAGAGTCATTAGATAGAGTCCTGCATGGGGGCTCCATGATGGGTGTGGAGCCTGCTTAAGATTCTCTCTCTCTGTCTGCCTTTCTCCCCAGCTCATGCTCTCCCACACACACAAAATAATAAATGAATGAATGAATGAATGCATACATACATACATACATAAATACACCACACATGCTGTCATAATCATCTTTCGACATCTTACTGTTTTACTACTAAAATAAGCACCTGCTATCTGGCATAGCTCTCTCTCAAAATTTCTGTCAGATTTGGTATATGGTCATAGGCAAGGAATTTCGGATAACTAGGTTTAATTAAAAAGATTTTGCTCCTCGCAATGAACAGTCAACTCTCCAATGTACAAGTAATTAAAAGGCTCTAGTGTACCTCACCTAGTGCATGGCCCAAAAATATTATATTTTGAATAAATGAATGGGAGGAAAATTAAAGGTCTACTGGGAATCCCAGACGGATTTCAAAAAAAGACAAACCCTATTACTTTACTTCAGTCAAAATGAGTGCTAAATACATGTAAAATGGATACACATTATGCCTTTAATAACAAGTTACATGCTTCTGGATCTTACTGTATAAGAACATTTATAATTGTAGAAATAAAACCTCATTTTCACTTCATTTTTAACGCTCTACTTTCCTTTACAGTTTCAAACAAAGTTTGCACATGTCACAGAAGCTTAATTAAAGAGCTGGAATTAATGATGAATATTCAAGCTTGTACAGTTGTCAGGTCTCCTTACATTGAATATAACTCAAATAAGGCATGTCACAATGGATTCCAGGCCTGCCTAGGAACAAAGGGAGCAATCTGTGGGGCTCTGAAGAACATTTTTTGCAGGGAGTTCTTACTTTGTTCTCATTATTTGAGCAAGATCCACATCTGGTGTGAGTTAAACTACTTGGATTTTAATGAACAACCAACTCCATTTGAGGAGGAATCAGGAATTTCAATGGACAGGACAAACCGCGGGCTACCAGCAGAGACCTTTCATGGACCATCCACCATACACACAGGACTGAGTATGGTAAAGAGCGTGGGCGGGAGCCAAAGGGCCTGAGGGTAAACTCTGGCTCTGCTCCAGTGGGCTGTGCAAAGTTCCTGTGCCGGGGCTCCCCTAGCAGCCCTCCCCCATGGGGCTATCGCAAGGCTTCAGTGAGATGCAAGTGTCCAGCACTTCGCAAGCACTCAATAAATGTTAGCTACTCTTGTTTATACAAAACATAGTTCACATTTCTACAGTCCATCAGGGAATTCTTTAGGAGCTCTTGTGTTCCTGTATGAAATCAGACATGTGATTATGCAGAAAATGGCCTAAACCCAATTGCTGAGACCCACAAAACTAATGAAACCACAAGACATATTTGGGGACACACCATATGGCTGGCATAGGAAACTGGCACCGAGTGTATTCTTGCAGTGAGAACAATGTAGCTAGATGACTCCATTCACATTTAGCTCTTGCACATAACACAGATAACGGAAAAAGAGAAAATGAGAGGCAAGAGATTAAAGAATGTCACAATTTCAATATTCAACAATAGGCTAGCTATGAAGCCAAAATATAACTAACTCCCATTTCAGTGCTCTATTCTAACCATGCCCGGCTGAGCCTTCCAATGTGGCATGGCAGCTGTGTACATTAACGATTCACAAAGGAGGAACAATTGCTGAGTTTTCAGCATTTACAATTAAATCCTAAAAAAGAGATGCCGTGTAGTGTGGTAGCAAAGAACACTGTATGAAGAGTCCAAAGAGCCATTTTTTTTCATCCTACTATCTGTCATTTATTGGTCATTTGATGCCTTCAGTAGTTCTTTGTGCTGTAGTTTTCTCTATGATTGTCTTGTCTTCCTTACCTGATCACGGTAGGAATCATACAAAATGTTCTGAAAGTGCCATAAACTAGGAGAGGTGGAATCTACAAATATTAAGGTCAGTGTGTTTCATCCTTATCATTCTGCTTTTTTCTTTCTTCCCCAAGAAATACCAGAAAAGGCAGAGGAATGGATACCAAGTATAGTGTTAAAATGCTTTGGCTAGTCCCAAGGCCTCCTGATTTCACTCGGCCCTTATTTGTGAACTTCATCGAAACCCTGATGAATTGCTAAATCTCTTCCTCCACCTGCCTCTCCACTTTCTCCCTCTTTTCCCACCTTGATCACTTACAGGCCTCATGGCAAGACCTGGGAATTCACTTTTTCTTTTTAAATGACTCACGGTCTTAGTACTTTGTATTACTTGCCTCACGGTGATTGCTCTTTAATTCTTTAGATATTTGTATACAATCCTGGGCCTAAATTCTTCAGTAACAACTCTGGTTAAATGATAATAAATCCCCCTAGTTACACTACAGTAAGCTTCATGTTACCACAATCAACTTAATCCCAAGTAACAAGCTTTGTTTTTCACAACATGATGATTTTTGCACTTGATGTCAGCATTTATTCACCTGAGGCAACAGAGCGTGCATAAGATTTTGCTTTACATAAAACACTACTGCCCATCTTTTCGGTTAAATGCTTTTTAAATGTGGCTGCAAGTCCTAATAATCAAGTACAGAGAAAGCAAATTCTAGAAGTTGGTTGTTCCTTAAGGGACCGAGTCTGTAGGCCTTCATTCATGCTACCCGAAATGCACACCACCCATAGGCCAGCGCCCAACGTTCAAATGGCAACACCCTCCCTGTTCTTTAGGACTTGCTGTGTGAATATTATAATTCTGATAGAAGGAACTCCCAAGAGAGCAAGAGCTGTAAACACCATGTGACTGAGTATCTAAGGTCCACTAGAAGCAGCTTTCTAGCCCCAAGATAGGTACTTATACATTCTCAATATCTCTGAGCTCACTAGGAAAAGCACAGTGAGCAGAAGTATGTGAAGGGACTTACAAGACTTTGGGGAGATAAATAAAGACATCATCAAAGAAGAAGTAAGACATCTCAAGACTGCAGTATGAAACACACACATTTATAAGTCTGGAGAGAAATAGAGTGAATTATGTCTGCTCCCTCTGAAAGAGTCAAGGCTTCCAGTAACTTGCTGCAAAGAGGGGGTATGTAGGCTGAACTTTACAAGAGAACATTCAATACTTTGGTGGCACAATGAAACCTACGACAGATCTATCTTTGGGCTTTTGCCAAAACATCATAAAAGACCTGAATGTCACTGCCACTTGCCTTTCCTTGTCCCCACTGGTCTCAATTATGAAACCAAGTGAAAAAGTTTCCACACACACATACACACACCACAGATACAAACTATTTGGGAATGTTGTATCGCAAAACACATGACTGTCCAATCACTACGATGACTGGCGTGCTATACAGAAAAGAAAAAATGGGACTGTCTAACGAAAGAAAATCAAGGAATGAAGGGTAAAAGGACAAGATGATATCACTCACAATGAATTTATAATCATGGGATATTTTTGGCCTTTATACAGCACCTATTTGGTAGAGATTCCAACGATCCACAAAGGATGTGAGCAGAAAGACTCAGCTGGATCTAAAGTAGAGAACAGTTGCTATTACAAATGTTTTTTTCTATGTGGATGTAATAACAGTTTGTGGCTACAGGCCCATTCTCAAGGGGAAGACTAACCAAATGAGATGATACATACAGCTAGGCATTTTTCTGAAAACAGCCTTTGGGGTTTTGAGATCTTAGAATACAAGGCCATTTTTCTGAAATAGAATACAAAAGTCTTTATCATGGCCTTTTATTTTCTCTCTAAAGATTGCATCCTATGGTCTCCAGCCTAAGGATGGCACAGCCCAGGTGTGAACAGGGATGGTTTTCTTTTCCCATTCACGAATTGTTGTGGAACCCCAGAAAGCTTCTCTGTGAGTCAGTTTTCCTTTGAAGAACTGTGGACAAAGTCTCAGAATTTAAAGTTATTAGCTTAATTAAATTCTTTAAGACACTTTAAAGAGCTTTATTGGTTGCTGGATTGTGTTCTGCTTTTTTTTTTTTTTTCGCATTATAACATTTCTTTTTTGGCGGGCTTTTCTATCGTTAATGGAGAAATAAAAAGACAAAGCCATGTAAGGATTTCTATTTTTTAAAGGTAAATATTTTTTTTCTAAACAGATCCTAGCCACAAAATTGTCTCATTAACAAGTTATAAGATACTGACAAGCTTTTATGAATGAAAAAATATTAAACCAGCTGAAACTGTGTTAATTATAAATCATCCCAACAAAGAAATACTTTATTTACCTTGGGAATACTTTTCAATGCTGCTGAAAATTATTCTAGGAATGTTTCCCAGGAAAGAATTTTTAAAAAGTTTTTCACATTTGTTGGCTTTTGGTAACACATTTGGTATAAAACAAATAGGACTAATAAACCTCATTTACTTTTTATAATTCCTCTCCATAAAAAGTAAAGACACTTTAAAACTGCATTCAAGATTTCTATATGATACCTTTCCTATCAGATATAGGTTAGATGTAACCAAAAGATTATTCACAAAGATTTATTCCCAATGTCATAACAATTAGATTGACTTTATCCCTTCAGAATCCAGCCCTCCTACTGTAATAAAAATAAAACCTAAACCTGTTTTAGAAATAGAGCTTTCATTTATGTTCTCTAAAATAGGTATCCAAGCTTTGCTTGTTTCCCATAAACGACAACTATGACCGAATTTCTTTGCTTTTGTGCTCTGAAAGTTTTACCCTTAGGAAATATTTCCAGTACACAATACTGAGAACATAGTACTTTCTTTTATGTTGTTAGCGGTGATGGTACCTGCCAGACAAAAAAGGTTATTTAAAAAAAAAAAATGGAGGCCCAAAGTCAGGATACATGGGTTCTTGGCTTGCTTTTGCTCTGAATTTTCTACTTGACTTTTATCAGGATATTTAACCTCTATATAATTTGGTTTGTTTGTCTTTGCAAGGGAAACAGTAAGACCTCCCTCACAAGGGTATCGTGATGATAAAATGTGGAGGGAGTCACCTTGCAACTGCTTTGAACAGGTTACAAGTGCTCTATACGTTCAAAGTACTATTATTTGAAGAATTAATAAATCCAGCAAGTATTTTCTGAGTCCTAATGGGCATCAGACATGATTCTCTTTAGCTGTTAAAACTGATGGAGTCCCTACCCTCAGGGAACTTACATTCCAGTGAAAAGGGGGTGAAGGCCCTCAGGAAAGGAGGGACTTCTGTTTTACAGAACAGTCAGGGAAAAGCTTCTCTGATATTAAGCAGAGATGTGGTGAACTGAGGGAGCAAGCCATGCAGGTATCAGAGGAAGAACATTCCAGGCATAAAGAAAAACAAGTATTTTTGCAGGTACCTTTCTCACCAACACAAGAAGAGCCTTAACGAAAAAGTTGAAAAGGGAGAGTGATCACTGTGAAACCTGGAGCTTTCAGAGAAGGGCAGGTTTGAAATCCTGGGACAGAGATGGCTCTGGAGAGGATGCGGCATGGTATTGGGTGACAAACACATAAACGGAGTGAAACTCCGAGCTCTGTCATACACCTGGACAAGTTTCTTCACCTGCCCACATCCCAGTCTATCTGAAGAAGGTCACTGAGAAGCTAATGACATGAAGGATGTACAATGCCAAGAACAGGGCCTTGTATCTAATAAGGACTCATACTGTTACTACTTGCCTTCATTTCTTGCCATTCTTAGAGGGCAGAAGACTAGGAAAAAAGGTAGTCAGACACCAAAAAACTTTGCCTTAGAAAGAAGAAAATCGGAAATATATCTTGCTTCTGTAAAAAGCTTTAGTTAGAGATTTCTGATCAAAAGTTTAAAGAACCATTGCTTTTCCTCTTTCAGAAATTTTGGCTGAGACAAAAGACTTTGGAAAAACAAAGAGAGAGAGAGAGTTTGTTAAATACAGGCCTAACGTTTTGAAAACAAATGAATGAAAATAATCTAAAACAAGTCGGACTTCAGCGTCTGTGCACCAACATTAAAGTAACAATAAAAGGGAAGTCAGACGTGTCTACTTCTCCAAATAGACATTATGTTCCAGAAAAGATGTGGATTTGATTTGCATGCTTGGCATCCTGTTGCCTCTAAAACGAAGTGTTTTGGATGCTTTCTCAAGGCATCTCTGGGAAGTCACCTGTGTGGGTTTCAGTTCTATTGTTCCATATTTATGCTCTACTGCCTACTTTCCACTGTTTACAAAACCACTTAGGATATTTTCATATTTGTTACAGTTTTCACAACAAAACCATTTCATGGCACACGTCACTCTGTAACAGAACTCCCTCCTGGGAAGCAAGTAGGATGCAAATCTTCCAGCTTCGTGCTCTCCCATGATGACAATGCTGCATCTCTAACCAAAAACAGGGCAGATGAACTAACACTTCCATTCAAATTAGCAGGTCTCAAGGTGAGAACAGGTAGATTTTATTTTAAAGCTGAGAATCAGGGGCGCCTGGGTGGCTCTGTCAGTTAACCATCTGACTTTTGATTTCAGCTCAGGTCATGATCTCATGGTTTGTGAGTTCAAGTCCCATTGCGCTCCATGTGGACAGCACAGAGCCTACTTGGGATTCTGACTCTCCAACTCTCTGCCCCTCTCCTGCTCACTGGAGTGCTCGCTCTCTCCCTGTCTCAAAATAAATTAACATTTAAAGAACTCTAAGAATTATCAAAAAAAAAAAAAAAAAAAAAAAGGAGAATGAACAAAGGGCATTGATAATGAAGGGAGTACTACCCAGGATCAATTGTGCAAATCATCAGACATCCATGGACTCAGCTCAGGAAAGCAATTAAGCTCCATTAGTTCAAAGACACTGAGCTGGGAACAAGGAACAAAGTTATACTGATTGCTCTATAGTTAGAACACCAGGCTTTGGAATCACAGATACGCAGTTCTGATCTCAGTTCCATGTGACCTCAGGCAAGTTACTTGACCTCTCTGAAGACGTTCTTGAAACCATAAAAAAATACCTGGATCAAGTTCATAGGCTTATACATGCAAATAAACATAGAGTACTTAATATACTGTCAGAATACAGGAAGCTCAATAAAAGGAAGTTATCATTATTGTAGGACGATGTTGATATTATCATCATCACCACCACCACCACGAAATATTAAGCTCCATGAGGTCAATGACTTTTGAGTAGTTTTGGTCATTGCCAAATTACAGAAGTGCCTAACACATAATTAGCACTCAGTAAATATTCACTGACTTATCAAAATAAAGGTATCATACTTTACAGAATATGGAAGCTCACTATCACTTTCTAACCCTTCTCAAAATGGCACCTCACAGCTTTGGTAAGAGGCCACATCATACATTTGAGAATAACTGCTGCTAAAAGGCCATATTCTGTTGTGTTTTTAATTTTGCATGCAGAGAGCAACCACTAAAATCATCTTTAAACCTGAAAAAACATCTGCCTTGACATATTTTCACTGAGTTTGAAGACATTATAGCTTTTACTTTTATTGTATAAACAAAGTAAATAATTAAAGAACATCCCACTATTTGTTTCATTCAAAGTTAAATAAATAACTGTTTAGCTGAATGATAATAAATAACTGCTTTTATTTGCAACCTTTCTCTCTAATATATAAATGCTATCAATTTGAATGATCCTGAGAAAACAATAAAAAAACCACAACTGCATGACCTGGTGTACAGGATCTTGGCATACTGTGAATTTCCAAAAGCAGCACACATTACCTTTGCAGAATGTTCCATGGTGACCACCACTTTGGTCTTAGCACTGGACACTAGATCCATAGCCCCTCCCATTCCTTTCACCATCTTCCCCTACAAAACAGAAGTGGGAAATATGATGTAATTCTCTTTCAATCTTTTAGCATGTGGAAGAATAAAATTAACTGGTAAGAATAAGCCACTGGAATAAACGAACTGGAAAAACTCATTGATCTTTATTGCTTAGTACTAGAAGCTTTGCAATATTAATATTCTGTTACTCTATTATTCTATGATTGAAGGATAAGTTAGGACAAATATTATGATGTCACTTTTATTACATTGTGGTTAATGTTATTTTGTTGATGATATATTATATCCAATCAATGGATGAGAAAAATGTTAAGAACCTTTTCTGAATTCTGGCACTTTATTAGGATTACAGTAATAGGAGACTGAAATCCATATACCCCTGACATCCACTTCTTTCTTTTTAAACACATAATCGGCCCCAATGAGTCTTCAATTACAAACACCTTCTAAAGCACTCTCTTGGATTTCCTGCAGATTAAAATGCCATTACGTGGTAGGTGAAGACACTTACGGTGTTTCCCTAGTAATGATTAATATGAAAAGGTGGGTCTGTCTTTCTAAACATGGCATTTATCTTGCTCTTAGAAAAATAAGCCAAACAAAACAAAAAATATATTGCTGTCAAGCAAAAACAAAACAGAAGCAGAGTTCAGGGCCTCTCACCGTTCCCATTCTATTTCTGTTCACCTGTCCATCTCATCATTCATTAAACATTTACCAGCCACCTTCTGCATGCCACACACTCTGAATAATTCTTACTGTCTGTTCTGTCTCCTGGTTACGGAGTTTTGGAAAAAGCAGGTGTTTCCAGAGATGATGAAATAAATTCTTCATGTATATGGGACAGAAATGTCATCTAACATTAAAACTTCCTTAAAATTTTATTTTTATTTTTTTATTTATTTTATTTTTTTATTTAAATTTTTTTTTTTTAATGTTTTATTTATTTCTAGGAGAGAGAGAGAGAGAGACAGCGTGAGCAGGGGAGGGTCAGAGAGAGAGGGAGTCACAGACTCTGAAACAGGCTCCAGGCTCTGAGCTGGCAGTCAGCACAGAGCCCGACGCGGGGCTCGAACCCACGAACCGTGAGATCACGACCCAAGTGAAAGTCGGACGCTTAACCGACTAAGCCACCCAGGCGCCCCTTAAAATTTTATTTTTAATCCAAGTCCTCTTGCTGATTTGTTGGTAAACTCTCAGCTCCTTCCCCAAAATTCCATAACTACAAGATTAGGAAATGCACTCATACCTGGCTTTAAAGCATAGAGGGCTCAAAACCTCGGGTTTCAGGAACACTTTAGAGGTCAATGCAACACTGCATGAACATGAACTCATTGTGCATTATATGAAGGAAAGGACAAAGTGGTCAGGATGCCTTTGTGGTTTTGAGCCTGCCACTAAATGAGATGGGTAGCGGCTGGCAATGGTTGCAGGGTGGCGGCGGGGAGGGGAGATGGAGAGCAGGAAAGAAGCAGAAGGTACAAATTTGGTCTGTTTTCAGACATGTAAGTTTGAAGTGAAGCAGAATATCTAAGTGGAATGTCTAATTTTATACTTCAATGAGCCATACCTTTGTCCTTAGTTAGCTGCAATTTTAATAAATTAGGTATACTATTTTCATAATATTTCTATAGAAAACACTAATACCTTTATGGGATGAAATATGAATTATATTTCTGTAGAGAAATATATTTTCTCTACCTGTATGGGGTGAAATATGAGTAACTCAGAGATGGAAGCAATGAATGTCTATCATTAACTCCAACACTAAGGAAGCTTGGGATTTTTAAAGCATCAAAAGACACTAAAGAAAGTCCATTATAAAATGAATTAACCGGTTATGATAAGAATATCCAGCAAGTCTCAGCTTCCACAGATAGTGTCCTTGGGAAGATGGTAAGGGTGTAACTGTTTGTACAATGAAGAAGCCAAAGAAAATCAGAAACCAAGGTAGCATGTTAAAAATTCCTTGAATTAAAAAAAAAAATCCTTGAATTAGAATATCCTAGAGATAAAATTTCTCACCTGTGGCACAATGATTATAGGTAAAAGCTTATGCCAATCTATTATATGAAGTTTGTCCACTTCAGGTGAGTCTGATTTCCATATTTTAAATCACTGTCAATTATTTAAGAAATATTTATAGAGCACCTACTGAGTACAAAACACTGTGCTGGCAGGGATATAAAAAGCTATAGAACATGGTAGAAGAAACATCTCTTTGCTTGTCTTAAAAAGAACATCCCTTGGGACCTGATCAAGCTAAAAAGCTTCTGCACAGTGAAGGAAACAATCACTAAAACTAAAAGGCAATTGATGTTATCCAAAATCTGTAAAAGAACTTATCAAACCTAGCAGTCCAAAAACAAATGGGCAAAAGACATAAATGGATGCTTGTCCATTGGCCATCCAGATGGCTAATAGACACATGAAAAAATGCTCAACATCACTCATCATCAGGGAAATACAAATTAAAACCACAATGAGATACCACCTCACACTAGTGAGAATGGCTAAACTTAACAACTCAGGCAACAACAGATGTTGGTGAGGATGCAGAGAAAGAGGATCTCTTTTGCTCTGCTGGTGGGAATGCAAACTGGTGCAGTCACTCTGGAAAACAGTATGGAGGTGCCTCAAAAAGTTAAAAATAGAACTACCCTATGACACAGCAATTGCACTACTAGGTATTTATCCAAGGGATACAGGTGTGCTGTCTCGAAGGGGCACATGTACCCCAATGTTTATAGCAGCACTATCAACAATAGCCAAAGTATGGATAGAGCCCAAATGTCCATCGACAGATGAATGGATAAAGAAGATATGGTATATATATATAATGGAGTATTATTCAGCAATCAAGAAGAATGAAATCTTGCCATTTGCAGCAATGTGGATGGAACTAGAGGGTATTATGCTAAGTGAAATTAGTCAGTCAGAGAAAGACTAATATCATATGACCAATCATTTGGAATTTAAGATATAAAATAGATGAACATAAGGGAAGGGAAAGAAAAATAAGATGAAAACAGGGAGGGGGACAAAGCATAAGAAACTCTTAAATATAGAGAACAAACTGAGGGTTGCTGGAGAGGATGTGGGTGGGGGCTAAATGGGTAAGGAGCATTAAGGAGGGCACGTGTTGGGATGAACACTGGGTATTATACATAGGGGATGAATCACTGAAATATCCTCCTGAAATCATTACTGCGCTATATGGTAACTAACTTGGATGTAAATTAAAAAATATTAATAAGTGAGTGTGGGTGAAGGGGGAACAGGAGGAAAGTGGTCAAAAGGGCAAACTTCCAGTTATAACATAACTAAGTACCAGAGATGTAATGTACAACATGATGGCTATAACTAACACTGCTGTATGATATATAGGAAAGTTGTTAAGAGTATAAATCCTGAGTGTTCTCATCACAAAGATTTTTTTTCCTTTTCTCTTTTCTTCTTTCTTTTCTTTATTGTGTCCATAAGAGATGATAGATGTTAGTCTAAAAGTACTATAGTACTTATTTCACAATATATGTAAATCAAGTCACTGTGCTGTATGTCTTAAACATATACAGTGATGTATTTTATCAATTATTTCTCAATAAAACTGGAAAAAAAGAAACTTAAAAAAAGAACATTCTTGGGGACTCAAAGTCAAGGAGTAGCCTTCATCACTCAATGAGATTCTGATGTTTTATCTTCAAAGCAGCACATGCTACAAATTTCAAAACACTATTTTGATAATGAAATATCTGTTTCCAAGACTGAAGAATACACAAGATTTGGCACAGAACACTGAGATCTATTCTATCAACCCATTGTACAACACTGGCAAATTCTCTTGAATTGTCTCTGAACCCATTATTTAAAAGCCGAGACTAAGAATATCCCCCAATCATAAAGCTGTTATGAGGAGTGCATGAGATAATATATGGAAAATTGCAGAGAATATAACATTTACAAATTCACTGACTTATCTTGTCATCCAGTCTATTAGGTTTACTGAGTGTCTAGTATGAGCCTGGCACTGTGCTGAGTTAGAGATTATCATAACAGGTCTCTTTTCCTCATAAATTTCATCATCTGAGGGAGGAAAAGCATTGGGAGTAATTATAGGGACTCAGACCAAACTCCCTTCCTCTAAAAGAAGCACTACCATGGTTCCCTCATCCCCAAGAGCCTGCCACTAAGTGCTTCCTCTTCCGTGAATCCTTGCTCTCTAGTATATAATTGTATCACAGTGACTTTCAACTATTTTTCATTATAGGTGCTTGGGTGAGTGAGGAGCAGATGGGTTAAACTAGCACAGGCATGTTCAGGTCCGAGCAGAGCATGGGGGATACAGTGCTAACTGGTTAGGGAAGCACAAGTGAGAAGAGGCAGCTCAGGTGGATTTCACAGAATGGATATTTCACAACAGCAGTCTTGCCAGATGGCAAAGAGAGCAGTGGCATCACCTAATAGAAAGCATTTCTAGCAGGTTAACAGGTAAATCTTCAAATATCTGGCCTTCCTATTTTCAAAAGTAAGTTCATTGTGTTGGAAAAAGAAAATAACATATTTCTGTCCATTTCAACTCCCAGATGATTTCCGAGACAGTCAATTACTAAAGGAAAACAATTCATTCTATCTATACCGGCAGAAAGAAACAGGGTTATATATAAGATATGCTCTCCAATGCAAGTGGGAAATTTATCACTGTCCTTCAACCCACCTTAGCAGCCACTCTTTTGGGACTCAACTACTTGCGTTTCCTGGTTCTGTACTGCAGGTAGGGGTGCCCATGTGCCTGAGCTCTAGACAATGGAGGGAGGGAGGTGATAGCTGTGATTTCCAGCCTCTGGCCCATAAAATCCTCTCACATGCAATCCCTGATGCTCTTATGCCTTCTGCACTCTGTACCCTGGCATCCAAGGTGGCGTTGGGAGATGCTAAGCTGCCTTCAGGGTCCTTAAGTGACTGCATATAGCAGAGCCCACTTACTCAGAAATTGTTCAATCTAAGTGGAAAATAAATGTATA